TGGCCCTTGGCCTTGGCTCCCTTAAAAGCCGGGGGGGGGCCCCGCGGGTTTTTCCCGGGCCCGGGTTTTCACTCCCCCAGGGGGGAGGCCCGGGGGGTTTTTGGGGGGGTCCCAGGAGGGGGGGGTGCCTCCTGGTAAGGGGTTTTGGCCTTTTTGGGTTTATTCCTTGGGGTGGGGTGGCCGGTTCGTTTGGATTTATTTTTTTTTTGGGGGTTTCCATTCCCGGGGCCGTTTTTAGCCCTGGGGTAACGCCTTGGGGGGGGTTGGCCCATTTTACCCAACGGGGGGGGGTTCTTCCCCCTTGGGGGGGGGGGGGGTTTTTGGTTCCCCCACACCTTGTTTTTTTGGCCCCCCTTTTGGTTTCCCCCCAAAAAAAAAAAGGGGGTAAAAAAAAAACGGGTACCTGGTTTGCGGATTTCCGAAAGTAATTTGGTTTTTTTTACAAGTTGGTGCCCAAGGGAGGAAACCCCATTCCGGGGGGGGGGGGGGGGGTGCGCAGAATAACGGAGTGAAAACAAGGAAGCTTTCAACCCTTTCGAGAATCGGTATTCTTGCGTATTACGAAGTAAATACTTTTTTTTACTTCGCCGGATTTTTTCCGGGTGCGCGGGGGGAGGGGCGTGTGCGGGCCGCCTTTGGCTCTTGTTGCAGCATGTTGGGGAGAGAGATAGCACGCACGAGGGTTCGATAGCAGCAGCAGGAAGAAGAGTGGAATGACTGTTGTTTAACGAATTGCCGAAATACCAGTCTTCAAGCTTTAATCCTGTATGGGGAGCAGCTGTTGGGCTAACCCTTTCAAAGACGGACACAAGGGACAATCCGTTCGTTTCGACCTGCCATCGGCCCAGGGATGGGACAAAAGCCCCCCCCTTCCAGGGATTGGGAGGGCGTACGGAAACGCGAAGCGGCCTGCTGGGGGCCGTGAGTCAACTTCATGCGGGCATGTCGTAACCCAAAGCGGACACCCCAATACCGTTACGAGCAAGGCTAGTGCATTCCCGCAAAATACACGCTGCTTCCTTCCTTCGCTTTGACCATGGCGAGGAAGTTAGATAGGTCGCCTTGCCCCCAACCAAGCACACACGACAAATTTAACGGCCTTGCACCATGGTCACAAACAACAGATTCGCCACCTCCCTCCCCATTCCGTGATTGATTCCCTTCGCCCCGGTGGCCTAGTTGGTATCCTCGCAACCCCTTCTAGCGACCAAGGGTCACAGGGGGTTGTTTTGGAAAAGCTCTTCAGCAGTAAGTAGTTCGTGTCGCCTCACATGTCAGAGAAAAGGCTCAGGGGATTGGCCGGCCGCAGCGCCGCCACGACGCCCAACGCCTCGTCCATGGCACCGGACACCCCGGTCTGCTGGAGGTACTCCTCGGGAGGGAGGTTCCTCAGGGCAAGGAGTCGTTCCTCTCGTTCCTCCTCCTCGAGCCGCTCCCGCTCCAGCTGCTGGACAGTCTCCGTCACCAGCACCTGAAGCTGCTGCCGTTCCTGCTCCTCCTCCTCCTCCTCCTCCTCATCCTCCCCCTCCTCCTCCTGTTCCTGCTCCTCTTGCTCTTGCTGCTCCTCGTCATCGCCCTCATCCTGCTCCTGATGCTGGTGGTTCTGATCGCTACCGAGGTCATCGCGGCGGCTTCGATCGTCGCCCATGGTGGCGTTTGCTGCGAGTTGTTGGCGGTTGTCGCCGGCTTGTGTTGTTGCCTTTTCGGCCGGCGTTGGTGCGGGTGCTGACCTTCGGGACGATGTTGCCTCGCTGGTGGTCCCACCTTCGAGCTGCTGTGGCTTGACCGAAAACTGTTGCTGGTGATGATTCCTCTGCTGGTGCGAATTACCAGGCGTGGGGAACCTTGAGCGAGCGTCGTTGCGCGCATAGGACGCCAAGCATATCCAGTTCGAAAGAAAGAACAGCAAGCTATTTTTAGTGGGAAGGCCGGTCTACGGAAGGTCTTGTTCTTGTTGCTGTTGTTGTTGTTGTTGTTGTCCTTGCCTTCACATTACAAACCGTTCCGGTCTCCGCTCAATACCTTCTAATGTCCGTACTGGTCCAACTGACACAGTCACAAGCCAACTACCCTAGAGTCTGTGGATACAAAGTCCGAAATTACGTCGCATCGAAGGAGATGTACAGTCAGTAGTCTCCTGTGAAGCAGGCGGACGGACAGTTGGTCATAGAGCCTTAGACTATGATGGTGTTAGGGGACTCGTATGGTCTTTATCTTTCGTCGAACAAACAGTGGGGCCAATATTGGCAGGAACATTACGTGTACACTTCTGTACAAAACGCATGTTTGTAATCGCCACAGTTGATGCTAAAGGTCGCGAAGTTTTCACGCGCACCACGTGCCATGAGTAAACGCTGCAACGATGGCAAACCTTCCGGAAGCCGAGTATGCACTGTACAAAGTCCTGAGCTGGAGCGAAGGACACTGGAGGTTGCATAGACAACTACATCAGTACGATGGAGACACACGCAAGTTTCACAGAGTCGAGATAATATGTGGTGTACAGTCAAAGTTAACACTTCCCCTCACCAGGGAAATGTGATCGATCACCAGGTTTCGAGGGCATGGAGGAGGGTGATGACGGGCAAGGAAATCGCACACATGATGACAACCGGAGTGTTGAGCAAATACAGGCCGGCCGACGCTCGCTTTTCGTCCTTGCCCCAGCGAAGCTTCCGCGTGTCTTGCAGCTTGGCTTCGGATCCTAAAAGAACTGGATCGCGGTCAAGCACATACGGCGGGGGTGCGTAGATTATTCCTCCCTCCCGGCGCGGGCATAGAATACACTCTCAGGCGAAGGAGAATCGAGCAGATGCACGATGGCGAGAGAGAGAGAGAGAGAGAGAGAGAGAGAGAGAGAGAAGAGAGACCTCATGAAAGTCAAACCAACCAAAGATCGCGCGCGCGACCGTTAGAACTACAAAGCCGCAGCGCGGAGATGGGAACTCCGAGGGGGGCCCGCAGATGTGGCCGTTGTAGCTTTTTCGGATTGCTTTTCCCTCTCGCTGCAGCAGCAGTGTCTCGCACCTCGCACGCGCGGCAGCTTCACCCCAGAGTTCACCTCTGCCATCCCCGTCTTGCTGTGAGTCGAGGTTTGCTGTTGGCTGTAGGGCATTTTTTGGCCCCGTGGGTAACAGAGTGCTTAGTGGTTAGTGATGAATGCGCAATCGCAACGCTGAAACACTAACCACGAGCGGTAGGACATGGTCCGCGGAGAGAGGCACAGCAGGCGTCGTGCTTCGCAGCTCAGCCCCTGTCCCGTCTCTCGACTGGAGGAGACATAGGCACACAAGTAGGCAGCTGGAGAGGGTAAGGGGTTGCAAGAACCAGCCTTTGTAGGACAGCAGCAGCACGCGGTTTGGGACGCACATGAACCAGACATGCCGCAGGTGACACGAGATGCCACACCACACCCCCTCGACCGATTTCAAAGGTCAAAGCTCGACTACTCCACAGCAGTGGTAGCACCGAAAGTGGCGGCGTTGAAGCTGTGTCGTCGAGAGCTTTCCGAAAACCTATCGTTTCATTTGCGCATCCTCTTCGTCGTGGAGTAGCCTAGCTTTGAAATTGGTCCAGGGGGGGTGGTGTCTTGCGTCAACCGCTGCTGTACAGCAGGTAGCCTACAACAATTTACGTCGACCCAGTCACCGGGTGTTCTTCTCTGCACCTGCTGGGGAACAGCAGCGGAAGGAGTATGGCGGAAACATTCATGATTCGATTTGCTTGTCTTGCGAAATTAGCTCGTGTTCTGTAGTTTTCCTAGGCAATGATGCGGGTGCCACACCCTCTGCTGGTTGATTGTTTCTATGTTGTATACAACATGTACACGTGTGTACTCAGCCTTTGGCAAAGTTGAACCTTTGAGGGGCTGGCCGGTATAGTACAATCAACACCCGGTTTTGTCAGAGAGCAGCCCTGCGCCTCTGGGGTGGGGCGGCCTGAGCTGCCCCATGCATGTTTGTTCGCCCGGGCTGCTGGACAATGGGAAGGAACAACACGCGGTGTTTCCTTCAAGTTCCCTCAAGCATCTCGAAAGCTACTGCAGTTGTAGTCTTGCGCACCCCTCGGTACTAAACACCAACCACACCAGAGGTGCCACCGTCCAAGCCCGACAACAACGCACCATCCACGTGCTTGACACTTCCGACGTGCATGGCAACTTCATCGATACCGAAACAGGAGCAACTCCGAGCCTGAGAGGAGCCATATTCCTGTTCTTGCGTCAACAGCACGGAAAAACACAGCAGGCATGGCTCTCAGCCCTGCGGACGTTTGCCTCCTGGAGAAGGAGGCTAGAGCTAGAGAAGATGAGGACAAGCGGAAGCATTCGAGGCCTAACGTGAGAGTGGTCATCTATTGGAAGGGGCGCGCGGGCGGGCGGGCGGGCGGGGGGTACTACTGTAGTATGCTGTACGTAGCCGGGCAGCCGTAGTCGTTTGACCACTAACCGCGCATCCCTACGAAGCCGGGACGGAGCACGCCGGGTTTTCACCGGACCAGGCTACAAGTAGCACAGAACCAGGGGCGGGGGGGGACGGAACAGCAGCCTTCGCATTTTTTTTTATTTAGCAAACATGTTCGAAAAAAAGCATACCATCGGGGAAGTTAGGCTAGGGTTTAGGGATAGGGACAGTGTCTGCGTACCCCCTCCCTCCCAGCTCTATTCCCTTTATAATACTGAATTTCCCGCGAAGGCGGCCCCCGCCCGAGGCAAGCAGTACGTTTGTACCCTGCGTACCTCGAGGACGCGTGGCCAATGGTCTTGACGACGAAGGCGTGCAAAAGCAAAAATATGAGGACGCCCGCCCCCGCCGGGAGTCCACAGTCCATGCGTTGATTGAAGCCAGGTTTATGTGGATGGCCGGTTGGTGCGTGGGTATGGGCAGGCTTTGGGGGAGGCAAGCAGCCAATTTGTAGTTTGCTTCTCCCGACGACGCGTGGTCGATGGTCTTGACAACGGAGGCATGCGAAACACGAGTACGCCCGCCCCCGCCGGGGGTGCATCGTCGATGATCGACGATTGGCTCCTCGCTAGGTCAATACAATATGTTTCCCTCGTGCGGTAGGGGCGCGATCTCGAGCATAATACATCTTCAGCAACGGTCTGTGGCCCCGCGTCGTTCTCCTGCTGCTAACGATTCTCGCACTCTCACTCAGTGCGATCTAAAAATGCGCTCTTGAACTCCCGACCAACACGGAAAACAATACAAGTGGGATGTGTTTTGGCTTTTTGGGGGGGGGGGAGATTTTGTATTTTTTGGGACGCAATAATGAGATAGGTTGGGCGTGTTTCGTTTTGTGCTGGTTGGTGTGCTTTGTTCTCGTTTGGGCATTTGTTGAGTTTCAGTTCTAGGGGCGCGATGTTATCGATGTAGCTATGGGCAGGTTTCGGAGGAGGCGGCAAGCAACCAATCAGTGCCCCGGGGGTGCGTCGTCGATTTTTCGATCGGAATCCTCACAAGGTTGACATCGGTGTTCATTGGCCGGTTCGCGCGTGTGTGTAGGTTTCAGAGGAGACTGCAGGGTCGCTCGTGACTCGGCTCTTCGGCAAGGAGGTCTCCTCCGTCGCACGCCTCGACAGCTACGATGACGCCAACTTCAAGATCGTGGAGGCGGGCAGTGGGGAGACGTTCACCCTGAAGGTGCGGTCGGTTCATTTTCGGTCTTCTTCACCGGGCCATCGCGTGGACCTCATCGTGGGCCCTCGCCAGTTGCGCAAGTTGCTCATCGAACACACTTGCTTATTTTTGTCGAACGTACACTGCGGGTTGAGAGGGGGCAGGAGCGAGCCCAAAAATACTCCCTGGAATCCGGCGCTCTCTCTACAACTAATACCGTAACATTCTTCTTCTGTATGCATTTTCTCATGGTCGGCATACATCATTGTTGCGCTGTTCAGTCCGTAATCTCTCTTACATCGTGTAACCATAAGCCTTAGCCGCTCTGCGTCATTGTTCCCGTATGGGTAACCTCGACATAGAGGCTGGGCCTGTATTTCCTCGAGCGAAGCTCTCCGCCTGCCCGAAGCCTATCTACGTGCGCCTCGGGGGACGTTCCCCGTCGAGCGCTTGTGTTGGCACAATGTTTTGCATTTTTTTTCGACCAAGAAAGGATGCGGCGTTGTGTTTGACGATGTTTCGCAATATTTCTTCGATTAACTAGATGCAAACCGGCAAGTCTCGCGCTCATGTTTGTTGCTGGTGTTGACCTCGATGGTCTGCTTTCGTTTGGGACAACTTCCGCCCCCCTGGAACCCGACAGCAAACCAAGAGGTTTAAACCAATGCATGACTATACTCACAGTGAGTATCTCCCCCCCCCCACACGCACTTGAACATTCCTCGTCGCCCCCGTAGACCAGATCCACAACGCATGGTACTCTCGAGACCCCCCCAAACACACACATACACTCGAACATTCCCCGTCGCCCCCTTAGACCAGACCCACAACGCATGGGACTCTCGGACCCCCCCCCCCCCCCACACACACACCC